AAAAAAAAAAAAAAGTACTAAACTTACATTTCCAAATTGTCAATATTGAATAACCATGCAACAGAGAAAAGGACTGATTATGTTCATTCCTCACCAAAGAAACAAAACACTTTCACATATACATGTATATATACACATACATGCATACATATGTATTACAGAGGATTTTAACTCAACAATTACGGAAATTTCTACCAAGGTATAATCCATTCTTGATAGCCATAAAGAAGCAGGTTCCACCTAGGATAAACTCTGCTACCTTAAATTAGATATTTAGAAGGCTAGAGAGTGTGCTTGCTTATAATAGAAATTATATTGAAAAATATTAGAAAGTAATAGAAATATGATTGGTAAAAAATTCATTGAAAAGGACAGGCTAAGTATTAAGACCTATGGGTAGGTGAAGAATTGGTGACAGAGGTAGGATCACACGAGACAAAATGATTTTTTTTTACTGTATCTTGCATGTAGGAATACCAATACCTGAATTTCTTAGTTATTTTTAAAAACCAAAGAACTATGGGTAGAGGGAGAGACATGCAACTTGAGTACAACAGTCATAATATTTATTTGACCGGAAAAATATATACAAAGATTAGAACCACTATAAAAGATCAGACAAAAAGGAATATTTGCTTCCTATTATTTACATATCTGTCATTGATACTTTTTAGTATATTTTAAATATCCATCAATTTTTCCAGTTATCCACATCTTTTTCATATAATTAGAACAATAGTCTGCCAAGTTCAAACATTACCTGTGGAAATAATAAAGAAAATTACTATAAACTTAAAATTCTCTTCATTGATTATTAAGATTTATTACAAAGCAAATTCTAAAAATGAAAAGTTTATTTCAAAAGGCTCTCATAGATGGAACTTGTCTCTCAAGGCCTTTCTGTACCAGGTGGTTTTGAGCTGGAGGAACAGGTATTTTCTGCTTGTTTTACTGTATCAAACTTGCCTATTTCACTAATAATGTTTTAAAAAATACTGGGAATGTTTAAATATAAATGGTACATTAGAGGCTGGAAACCATTCCTATATACTCCTATACAAACCATGAAAGAGTTAAATCAAACATTTTATTTCTTCTCTACATCAAAACACCTTTGCAATTTTGGTCATATTTGGTTTGGCAAGACTCCTAAATGAAATTCAGAAAAACATGAAAGATACTGGTAGAAAAAACAAAATGCATGAAAACTTTAGTCCATTAATAAGTGCTACAGATAGATGATGAACTGGGGCTAGAATTGAATTGAAGGACAGAACTGGGATGACTTGCATTTGAGTGTGTGGGTCCCTCAATGATCTCAAGTTATTCACTGCTATGTAAAAAAAAAAAAATTCTAGCATTTAACAATGTTATGTTTCTCAGTGATACTGTATTGCTCCAAATTAATGCAACACAATGATCTCAGAATTAAAATTACAAATAACAGGTGCATGGTTGATAGAAACATCTTACCAGTATCACTTGCATATAAGCTGTGGAGTATAGAAATCTATTGAGGGAATATATGAACAGAAAAGGAAGTAAACCTGTCAGAGCAAGAATCAGATAGGGAAAACTCTTGAGTATTATCCTGGTATTCTTGAGAAAAAGCATTCATTAAGTGCTTACTATACCCCAAGAATTCTTGGAAATAAGGGTAAAAATAGTCCCTAATGTGGGAGGCAACGTAAATGACTATACTTGATCTACCCAAAACAGATGGAAGGCAATCTCAGAGGGGAAGGCTTACAGAAGAATCAATTTAAGCTGAGTCTTGAAAAAAGAGAAAACTAAGACGCTGAGAGGCAAGGAAGGAAAACAATACAGGAATGGGAAACAGTCAGTGCAATGGCAGGGTGATAGGAGACCAAGTACCATGTATGAGGAACAGTCAATAAGACAGTATAGTTGGATTATAGAGTGCAAGAGGGAAATTAAACTAAAAAGACTGGAAAGGTAGGTAGTGGCCAGATCCTAATGAGTTTTAAGTGACAAACGAGTATTTAGTTGATCCTGGAGGTAGTTTGAAGTAAGTAGAGTTATTTTGAATAGGAAGTGGGATGATATGGCAGACTTAGGAAAAACAGTTTGTCAGCTAGGAGAGACTTGAGGCAGGGAGACCAATTGGAAGGAGGAGGTAAGAAGTGATGAGGTCCTGAACTAGGACAGTGGCTCGGTATTAGAAGAGGACATCTGACAGGTACTGTGAAGGGAGAAAGATCTGACAATGGATTGGATATATGGGTTGAGAGAGTGGTGACTGAAGGATGACTTTGAGGTTATGAACCTGGGTGAATGGGAAAGTGGTAGTATTTACCACACTAAGAGGGAAGTTCAGAAGAGAAGAGGTGTTGGGTTTTTTTTGGTGGGGTGTATGTGTGTGTGTGAGAGAGAGAGAGAATGAATTCTCTAGCCAATTTGAGTTTAAGAAGCCTATCAGTTAAAGTACTTCAAGATGTCCCTAAGGCAGTTGTTGAATACAGACTGAAGATAAAGGGCCCCAGAAATTTGCTTTCAAAAAACACTGGCAGTTTTATGAGAAAATGTGGACAACCACCCTTGAGAAGATGCTATGCATGGATTTAAAATTTGCATTATCGGAGAAGAGTACTCAATGCATATGAAATTACAAATCCTTCAGATTAAAAAATATCAAAATCCCCTGTTTACCTCAATGGTGATAAGTACAACAATCATCCATTCTAGGCGGAGTGCCCGCTTTTCATTGAGGTGATTTCTCATCAGGTCTGTTAATTCCATGCAGTGTTGAAGCTTCTCATTCATCACCTGTGAAAAGAAAAAAATCTGTCCAGAGCTCTGACCGAAAAAATACATGAAACGGCACATGCTGAAGTGCTTATCTTTGTTTTTGAAATCTCTATCAAAGGTCTAAAGATGAAGTTTAGGGGCTGAAACTGATTTACTGATATAAAGAACTCCTGATAAAAAAAACTCTGTACCAATGCAGGTCAACATTTTCTTTGCAACTTACAGATTTAGTTGTCTATCAGAGATTAAATGACTTGCCTGGAATCACACGGCCAACATGTGTCACAGATAAGACTTAAAACTAGGTTTTCCTGGCTTTGAGGCCAGCTCCGTATCCACTTGTACCTTGCTGTCACTCAACAGCCTTTCTAATAACAATTCATATGTATACATTTCTTTATTAAGCATTTTCCTCAACTTTTCAAAGCAGGTGGTATAATTAATATTCTTACTTTACAGATGAAAAAACAGCCTCAGGCCTTCTGACCTTAAATGCTATTTTCTTTTTCTTTTTTTTTTTTTAAGGCAAGTGGGGTTAAGTGACTTGCCTAGTATCACACAGCTAGTAAATGTCAAGTGTTTGTTCTGAGGCCACATTTGAACTCTGATCCTCCTGACTTCAAGGGCCGGTGCTCCACCCACTGCGCCACCTAGCTGCCCCAAATGTTGTTTTCTTTAGACCACTTTTCAAATATTAATTCTGATATTCATCATGTACATTCTTTTCAAGATAAAAAAATCCTACCAATGTGAAACATTACATCCTGTAGCCACCTCATCTATTATGAAAATGAACTTAAAAATAAAAGAATGGAAATCCTCTGGCCCCCATCACTATGAAGTCTATTAACTTAAAATATGAATTGCTATGAACTCAACAATAGATGGCACTACTTAAAATTCTAAATTAGAAGCCCTTCTGAGTCCAAAATGGTGGTTTCCAAGAATGGAAGCAGAATTTGTGAATTCATTCAAAAAGGTTAAACATTAATATTTTTTCAGTTTCAAGTACTTTAGAAAGGGCCATATCTAAATTGTTACTTGTATTCTGCAAGAATGTCATTGTTTTCTCTTGCTTCCACTCATCAGTGTGGTATATTCCTTTATTAATCATGTCAAGGTGTAAAAAAAGAAAAAAAAAGTACTATTTAAATCCAAAGATTTAAACTTAGAAATAACATATTAAACATTCACTATTAGAGTCACATGATTCCGCATTAATATTTTATTGTAATAATATTGAGGTCAAGGATAGATCAGTGTGACAAACTATCAGGAAGGTAATGTTTAAGTCTGCCTACACTGTTACTGCTGCTACCACTGCAGAGGACCAAGATGTACGTAAGGGAATTAACAAGGTTCTTCACACCTGCTAAAACCTCATCCCCATAATATTATGACATTCAAAACTGACAACCTGACTGCAGCATTTTTGTTATAGTACTATAACACGCAATTCAGACATGAATTTGTATAGCTATCTCCCACCTTTACCACCATTACCAGATGTTAACTTCTAAAGCAAAGTTTAGTTACTTCTTTAGGCTGAAGCAATGCCTCTAAGAACCACTTCAGGATTGTAGCACCAGAAGAGAAGAAAAAGGGAAGGAGCAAAAAAAGCAAATAAGTGAAGAAGAGGAAAAGATACATGTCACAGGGAGTTATCGATATTTGTTTTGGTGCCAATATAAAGCTACAGGTTCTACACGTAATGCCTTATACGTATGTTTATTTGTATAATATAAACTGCTTATACATATGACATAAAACATGTATGTATATTATATATGTGTATATGTATATAAATGGATATGGCCAACATGGAAATTTGTTTTGACTGTGTTTTACACGTTTATAATAGGGGTTTTGTTTTTCTATCATTCTGGGGAAGGCAGGAAGGGGGAGGCAAATTTCTGCTGACTGAAGAAACTAAAAAACAAGTCAGTGTTTAGGAAGTATTACTAAGTATTAAAGAATAGGCAGGTGCTAAATAAAAAATGTAGAGAATAGAATCTTTTAAATATTAGAAAAATAAACTCTACAGGTAGAAAGGAGAAGCCTGAGAGAATGTGTTGGGTGACAAAACACCATGGAAACCACTGTTTCATGCAGATTCCATAAGACAATATTGGATGAGATAAGTTACATCAAAAAATGCATATAAAATTCACAATAGTGTGGCCATTTTGTCTAATGCAACCCTTTATTTCTCATAGTTGAATATCTTCTCCTATGCCCATAAGCCTTACCTGTTATTTCTTTCCTTCTGCTATGCTTTTTGCTTTCTTGTCATTTTGAAAAAAATTATCTTATGCCTACTACTAATTTTAAGGAAAAAGGGATATCTCTTCTAGCTTACATTTCACATCTTGTATCCCTCAAACATTCCTACCTCTCTTTAAGTTGTCCTTCCCAATTCCTAACACAGAATTGAGTAAACACCTGGCAAAATTAATTAGTAATTTTATTATTAGTAAAAGATGGTTTAAATGAATCTAGAGTATCTTTCTGAGTACTGAGTATCTGGAGATGTGAGATTAGAAGTCAGTAAGGAGATTAGGGCAGGACAGGTAGATTTGGAAATCATCAGCATAGAGATAGTGATTAAATCCATGGAGTTGATGAGAATCCTGTGGGACACCTACGTTTAGGGGGCATGATCTGGAGGAAGACTGGGCAAAGGAGTTGTCAGATATGAAGGAGAAACTAGGAGACGCTATTGTTCTGACAATCTAGGGAGAAGACAATATAAAGGAAGAGAAAGTTGATCAACATTGTCCGAGGCTGCACATAGGTGGAGAATGAGGATTGAGAAAAGGCTAATGGATTTGGCAATTAAGAGATCAGATAACTTTGGTGAGGGCAATTCTGGTGGAATGATAAGGTTGGAAGCTGGAATGTAAGAGATTTAGAAGAGAGAAGAAAAAGGGAAGGCCCTATTATGGACAAGAATGGAATCAGTCATATCACTGTTCCATCTTGTTAGTGCACATAAGTCAAAGTCAATATTATATAGGGTAGGAAAGATTAAGCAGAAGTCAGAAAAATTTTTTTTAGACTGAACCTATAATTTTGCTGGTGTCAGGAACTTATAGTGAGAAAATTTTCCCTATCAATGCAAACTGGTAACTTCTGCAATTTATAGTCTTAAAAAGTTGCTTGAGACAAACAAGGTCAACTGACTTGTCCAGGGTCACATAGCCAATGTGTCAGAACTGAGACTAGAAAACAAGACTCTCTGATTCTGAGATTATCTTTCTATCCACTACATCATACTGCCTCTAAGAAATAACAATAACCATGCCAAATGGATTTCCCCTTTCATACTGTTATAAATAGTTATGGACAAAAAGGTTGCTTTTTTTTTTTCTGGGAAGAACAGAAGACCTACCTTAACTCTACGAGTAATGCTAAGAAACTGACAAGTTTTATCATAAAGTGCCTCCAAGTTTTCTCTATCCCAGTAGAAATCAGGGGTCATCAGGAAGTCTGAACTTAAATTTATACGGTGTCTGTAAAAAAGCAAAAGTATAAATGTTTTTACTTTTAAATTTTTAGATAATAAAATTATGTTAGAATTTAAGTGTTTTAGTAGTTGAATTAAAATCAATGTAAAAACCTCTGCTCGTGCCATTATGCTAATATATTTTACTATTACATTTTTATAAAAAAAATTTAACTTGTATAGGTCTTTTATTTTTACATCATTTTCATTTCCAAATATATTTCTTCCACAGCCAAAGCAGTTCAAAAAAATGAACTTATCAAGTGTAACAGTATGTGTAATATAGGAGGAAAGTATGTTGATATGCATAATTTTAAAACCTAAATTATTTGGGTAAGTTTTCTGTTCGTCTAACATTGGTTTCTTCTGACAATTATCAGTTTCCCCACTCACTGTAATTAGTTTTCTTTTGAAAATAATTTTATTTGAATTATATTCTTGAGAATTTCCTATCCCTACTGGGCTCACTTGTAGAATCCTGTCTACTCTCCCTCTCAGCCGTTTGAAATCTGCTCTCCCAAAATTTAAGGTGCAGAACAAACTATACTCAACTTTCCTCTCCTCTATCACAACTCTAGGAGACAGCGGTAATATAATTTCTAACTCATCAACTAATTTCTCCATTTCAGTGAGAACTAGACCTAGAATAAAATTTTCTCCTATTTCCTCCACCTTTTATAGGATGTAATCATTATAGTAAATCAAGAAATTAGCTGCTCTGCGACTGAAAAGCTCCAGACGGTATCTAGATAACTAAAGTTCCCTATCACAATTGCATCAAAATTAAGATTTATTCCCCCAAAGCATGAAAATTGATCTAACTGCCCTACATATTTATGTTTATGAGAAAGAAAGGGTTTTTTGTTTGTTTATGGTTATTATGAAAATAGCTACTCAACATAAATGTGGCATTTTAAAAAAAACCCTTTCATGTATTTTAGGAAAATTTTCAACATAAGAGATGTTTAATAGAAATCTTTACCTTAATGAAAAAAGTTCTCCCATTTTCTGCATAACTTCTTCATGAGAAAGTTTCACCTTTTTTCCAGCTTTTAAAGCCTAGAGAAAAACAGCAATTTGATACATGATTTAGGTTGTGACTTTTAATTTTAAATTAAGCCTCACAAGATGTTGCAGAGTTCTGATTTACTATCATTAAGATGTTATATACATGACTGTCTTTAGTTGTATATCATCACTACCCTCATAAGGCTTTAAAATCTTATTATGCAAGCACCTCTATGTTCATCTTCACCCCATCATTTCCTCTGAAACACTAGCTTTATCTCCTCTTGTAGAGACTGTGGCTTCTTACCTCATCTCTTAAGCATAACTGAAAAATCTTTTCACCTTAAAAATAAGGAGGTCAAGAAATAAAAATTAAGTATTAATGACATTAAAATACTCTTTTGTGAAATTTCCTGTCATACTACTTAACTCTAATCATAGTCTGGCAAAATATTTGTACAACAGCAAAATAATTTCCAGCATTTTTAATTGAAGGCTACAGATAACTGTTTTCTTGGAGACAGGAAATATTTTATCACTGTTTTTTGCCAAGTTTTGCAATCTTAATTGCATCAAAATCTCAATAAAAGTATTTGTCTGAATTTTAAACTCAAACTAAAAAAAAAAACATTATGGTGCTTAAATGCTCTATTTCTGCACCCTGTTCTGCCTGAACTAAGAGAGGGAGAGCTGGGAGATTGGGGTACCTTTGTGTATAATTTTCCTGGTATTTATCATTGTTTTGTTTTGTTGACTGGTCAATTAAAACTTTTTAAAGTGTCCTCTCAAATAAGATTGATTCCTTTTTACTTGAAAAATACATATAGAGTTGGCATAAATTATTACCTCTGGAATTGACTGAATAGACTCAACAAAATCATCCAGTGATGCTTCCCAAATAGCCAGCTTCACTGAGGAAGAAATTTTTAAAAAGAATAGTTTTTATATCTTTAAAATTAAAATACAACAAACATTTATTAAGTTTTTGATGTGTACATAACATACAATCAACAAACACTGAAGGGCCTATTATGTACAAGAACTTTTCCAAGTACTTAGGAAAAAAGAAAACAGTTCCTGCTCTTAAAAAACTTAGAGTCTTAATAGCTCTAGTAGAAAGAGGGAACAAGAAAGAAGCTACAATCATTGCCCTTGTCCTCATGAAAGTTACAGTCATTTAGAAGGACATAAAAGAACATAATTTTTTGTATAATAAAAATAATATACAAGTTTATGAGAGGTATAAGAAGGGCACTTTTTTCAGGGAAAACATCATTACTGGGAAGGTTTCCTGACTGGGCAGGAATTTAACAAAGAGGGGAAGGACATTCCAAGCAGAGGGTACAAAGTGAGCTAAGGCACACAGGCAGGAAGACATAGGGCATATATGGAGTACAATTAATAGTATGGTTTATTTAGAGCATACAGCATATGCAGGAGGATAGTATAAAATAATCCAGAAATGGTAAGGGGTACCAGATAGTGAAAGACCTTGAATGCTAGGCTAGGGAGATTAGAATTTATTCAGTTACTTTCACGGCCATGCTTTTAAAAATATCTAGATATCTGACTAGATATGGTACCTAATACCATCTATAAATAGGGGCATTAGAAGATCAGTGCTATCAACTTGAAGTCCTATCTGGACCTCAAGCAGGACATCCTTTTCTTGGTGAACATCGTAAGTGAGCATACTTCTCCTGTTTTATGCTCCATTTGCTGTTAGTACTTAGTGAGTTGATGGAACCACAATAATAGTAACTAGAATGACTGACTTCAAATCAGGAAGAAGTGTGTTTACATCTTATTTCTGATACTGTATAACGATGGGAAAGTTATCTCTCTGAAACTTAGTTTCGTCATCTGTAAAACAGGAATACAACTTGTAGTATGTATCTCAAAGGGTGATTGTGAGACTTGAGGTAATTGTAAAGCACTCTATAAACTTTAAAAGCACTACATAAAAGCCAGTTATTACTGCTGTTATAAAGTTTGTTTTACAGTCAAAGCTGTTACAGAATTTCGTATTTTGACCTCTGTATATGCAACAGTTGGAGGAGGTCTTTTAAAGCTGTCTTGTTCAACCAAGTCTTATACTTGACTTAAAAAAAAAAGTCGATGGGGCAGCTAGGTGGTACAGTGGATAGAGCACTAGCCTTGAAGTCAGGAGAACCTCAGTTCAAATCCAACCTCAGACACTTGACAGTTACCAGCTGTGTGACCCTGGGCAAGTCACTTACCCCTTAACTGCCACACACACACACACACACACACACACACACACACACAAAAGTGATGACTGATACAACAGACTTTTATATTCCTTATGTCGTTTAGTCAGTTGTATGATTGCAAAGATGTGGTTTACTATAGAAAATCACTTGTGAAAGCCTGTCTATTCTGTTTCCATATTCTGAAACATATAGGCCATTTTCATCAAGATTTTTATAGAGGTGATAAAGTAGATATGTAGATTGAAAGTTACTGATGACTTGGTTGCTTTATTAGGGAAAAGCACAAGCTGACCTCTTTGCCATTCTTTTGGAAATCTTCTCTTTGATATACCTTGAAAAGCTATCCATACAACTATGCTGCCTCCAGCACACATGCCTTCTGTATATATTTACTAGGATCCAGGCAAGTCTGCTTGACATCATCTTACCAGGCACTGCCACGTTTTTATATAGTAGAAGTGAAAGATCTAAATGTGGTATTTCTAATACTGTCAACAATGATAATCGTTTACTGAAGGAACGCTGATGAACAGCCAAGTGATGGTAGCACAAGAAGCGTCTGGGAAATGGCAGTGGAAAGAAAAGCATGTGCAGACTCCTTCACCAGGACCAGCATGTTGGGGGACACAAAAGAAGTGGAAACCAGTATAGGAATGGATAGCTAGAGATAGAGTATGTTTCTAGAAGGAACCATGTTGTAAATAGAGTTGACTTTGAAGCCAGAAGACATGGGCAGAGGAGTGACATGGTCAGACTTGTACTTTAGAAATACCAATTTGGCAGCTTTTTAGACTAGAGAGGGGAAACCAATTACAAAGCTATTTTCTTAGTCAAAGTGAGAAGTGAGGTTGTAATAAGATGATTGTAATAAGATTTTAAATGTGTGGATGTGGAATGTGAGAGTAAAGAGCTCAGAATGACTCCTGTGTTTCAAACTTTGATAACATGAAATATTCATGTCTTCAAGAGAAACAGTGAAGTGAAGAAGGATAAGATTAGGGAAAAAAGATAACAAATTCAGTTTTGAATATATTGAGTTTAAGGTATCCAATAGTCTGTTGGTGATACAAGACTAGAGGTCAATTTGGGAGTCATCTCTATAAAGATGATACCTGATTCCATGGAAGCAAATGAGATCTGAGGATAGGGAGAGGAAAGAGCTCAGGACACAGCTCTGGGGTACACTCAGATTAAGATGTGGGACATGGGTGACAGTCCTGGTAAAGGAGACTGGGAAAGATTTGTCATACAGGCAGGAAAAGAACCAAAACAGAACAACGTCACAAAAACCCAGTGAGACCATAGTTTCCAGAAGAAGGGGTGGTCAACAGTGTCAAATGCTGAGGAGAGGTCAGATGTTTTAACTTAGCAATAAAGATATCAATGGCAACCTTGAAGAGTGCAGTTTCAGTCACCTTTCAACTCTACAACTCAACTCACTTACTGTACTTTTTACCACCTTGTCTTAGATTACCTGAACATCAGACATCTAGCCCTTCCTTATTTCTTCAACCCAGCCCAGAAACTGTGCTCTCACAAATGAAAGTGAATCAATTCATCCTGTAATTTATTGGACTCTTGAGGTGCCAATCGAGGGAAACATCATTCCCTCTTCTGATTCCAGCAATATAGGAGCCTGAAGCATACTTTTCCTTGCCACTACTTTTCATTCTCCTTTACCCTGAACACTTCAATCTTACCCCCACTCCCAATTGAGTTTTATTTGCCCTGCCCAGCATGTTCCCTGGAATCTTCTATCATTAAAATTTCCTTTCATTTTGGAACTTTCCTTCTCCTACTCCTTCAGTTTTCTAACACCCAGACACCTGGTTCCTTCCAGAAAGGCACTCTTACCCCTAGCCATCCATTCCCATACTAGTTGCCACTTCTGTTGTGTCCTCCAACTTGCTAGTCTTGGAGAAGGAGTCTGCACGTGCTTTTCTTTCTACTGTCATTTGTCAGATGCTCCTTGTGCTACCATCACTTGGTAATCGCTTCTCTCATAAGGTTCATTCTATTCTGATATATCACCTTAATTGAGACCTGGTGCCATTTATCTATTGCATCATTCTCCTTTTTCTAGAACTTAAGTACTTGCCTTACAGTCTTCCTCTACTTCCCAAAATCATGCCCTTCTACTTGGGAACTTCAGTTTATATGTCGATGTTCTCTAAAATACCCTAGCCTTCCACTTTCTTTCTCCCTAACTACCAAGACTTACTCCTGCACTTCATCTCAGCCACATGCAAGATGGTCACATCCTTGATCTTTCCACCACTCAGTTCTAGCTGACTATGAATTCTGAAATACCTTGATATGATCACAATCGTCTATTATTCCATCTCTCCCTATGCCTCATTCCTTCTAAATCTATCAACTTGACCTGCAGTCCCTCCAAATTCTTCCAGCATCTCTGTTATGATTTGGGATGCTGGGAGCCCCAAAATGCAAGGATATAGGGGGTCTGCCTCAAAAGAATTCAACCACTCAAGCCGTCTTTCAGTAAAAATAGTGAGGTTTATTTGCGACACCAATAGAAGAAGGACAGATTCTAAGGGAATCTAAGCAATTTAACAGGGGTACAATTGGTACTTATATGCAAGAAAAGACAGTGAGAAGATCTGGATGGGATTAAGGAGTGGTAAAAGGTGGGGGGAGAGAGCACAGGCCAGGGGCAGACAATGACTGGAGTTAAGTGGTCAGAGATCCACAGTGAAAAGACAGAAGGATTACTGAGTATCTAGGTAGGTTGGGATGGGCCAGATGCCTCAATGATTGATAAATCTTATAAGGAAAGATTTTCCATGTCCCCTGTATTACTGTAAACACTGAGCTATAAGCCAGAGTGTGGTTATCTATGTTAACCTGAGAATTTAGTTCTCAGGAAAAGATGTGCTCTGGGAACCTGGCCAGTTCATCAGAACATATCAAGTTAATTAATATTCTAATATGTTGTGCTTGCTCCAGGAACTTGGCCAGTTCCTGGACCAAGTGAAAACATCAAAAGAATCATGGACACGTCTGGCACGGGGCCTTCTTTGTTAGAGGCCCTATTTAAATCCTAATTGGGAAAGCCATCTTTGGATTCTCACCCATGGAGAGGATGTTCTGCCAGGGCCCAGTCAGGACCCTGAAAGCTGTACCCCGGAATCCCCAGCTTGGACTTTAGGTTTTGGTGCTTCCCTGAATTGGTGATGTTTTCTTATATTATTGCTATCCTTTGAACTCTTAGCCTGACTATAGTCATATTGCTAATTGTATGTTGCTGTAAATCTAGCTTTTCTATACCTATATTATAATCTTAATTAAAGCTACCTTCATTTTTCTCTCTCTAGGAGTGTCTTATTATAGGAGTGAATCCGAACCACATTTTTCTTCCTTAATCATACACTCAGGTGAAATACCAGCGTGGGAAAGTTCAGGGCAAAGACATGGTCTTTTCCCTTTAGGGGTCCAGGTCTCATGACTCCATCATATCAATCTTCTACTGTGGCTTACTTTTCCTTTCCCATTCCTGATTCTATTGTTAACTAGCTCAATTTTATAGTCTCTTAAATTTTCAAATCTCTTGACCCTCTGTCCTACTATTTTTTTTCCCATATCTTGCCAAACACTAACCCTAGATTACTCTTACTATTTACCTCTTTTCCTATTTACTTGCTGCTGAAGAGAAACTGGAGAAAGTCAGGAAATTATACTGATTGGTTCCACTACAAATTTATATTATCTAATCTCAAAAGGGTCCTCACTAAATAGGGCAATTCTTTTACTCCTCTCTCATTATCACATTCCCCACTGCAGTTGTTACAAACCTTCTCTTTTCTTCCCAAGCTTCCTACACTTCCCCTTTCCATTACTACTAGACCAACCTCATGCAATATGGACAAAATACAGACTATTCATCCTGAGCTCCCTCTTTTCCCTTCTCTGTGGCTCAAAACTTCTTGACACCTCTTTTCCATCCTTTACTCCAATTTCTAATGAAGCGATGGCCCTCTCCTTATCAAAGCCAACTTTTTTTGTAAAACCTCTCCCTTTTTTTTTTAAAAAAAGCTGGAACAATTTACTTTTTTGTCCTGTGCAGTTTTCATTTATGATTTCTTGAAATATATAGCTCTGAAAAAACAGGCTTTAAAAAAGCCCATTGTATTTCAAACAGATTTACTTGACTCTGTCTTTAAACCCAAATCACTCTGGCTTTCATTGAATGGCCAACAATAGCCCCTAGTCCAAACCTCACTGTTTAGGTTTTGATAGCCAAGGTGAGTCTAAATAGCATTTGTTTTCTGTTCAGGCCATAAACTTTGAGGGTCTCCCCCCCAAGAATGATATTTTTGTGATGGTAAATTAGGCCATCTTTTGTCTTAATTCTTAACTAGTCATTATTTTTGAATAGGCATTGCCCCAGAGAAACTGAGATCTAGGAAAGACCTTAATTCAGAAAGGCCAAGGTCACCCACTGCATTCCATGCAATTTCTAGTAGTCTTGGCTTTTGTCTTGCCATTGGACTTCCAAGGTCTCTGGAGAAGAAAGTGAGGCTGAAGACTCATATGCAAGTCAAGACATCACCCTGGTGATGTCACTGGTCCTCTTAGAAAATGAAGAACAGTGAGATTTCATCCTCTGTCTCTTCTAGTAGATTGCTTCCACAGTTATCCCTTCCCTCTCACTAATCTTTAATCTCTCCCTATCTAGCTCAATTCCTCACTGCCTATAAACATGCTCAGATTTCCACCAGCCTTAAAAAACCCTGACTTGACCTCAGTATTCCCTCAAACTCTGGCCCTCTACCTACCTTCCCTTTTACAGCCAAACTCTAAGGAAAAAGCTGTCTATACTCCGTGTTTCTCTCCTTTCACTCACTTCTTAATCTGGCTTCTGACTTGATCATTCAAATGAAACTGATTTGTCCAAAGTCATCAATAATAAACCTCACCTAAATAAAACTGGAGAACTGAATTCAATAAATAAGCTCTCTCATGTAGTATGATAAAAAAAGGTTTGTATCGATATTTCAGTTCATATGTTACAATAAATGCTATCTAAATTAAAAACAACAACAACAAAAACCCTCACCAAAAGTCCTAGAAGAAATAGTGACTAGAGTGCTAGGGAGAGTTGGGTTCAAATTCCACCTCAGACACTTACTGGCTTTACTGTACCGAGCAAGTGACTTTAACTCTCTTTCAGTCGATTTTCTACTTTTTTTTTGGGTGATTTTTTAAATTAAAATCAATTTATTTTTAGTTTTCAACATTCACTTCCATAAACTTTTAAGTTTTAAATTTTCTCCACCTCCTCATCCCCTCTCCCCAAGATGGCATGCAATCTGATACAGGCTCTACATATACATTCTTATTAAATACATTTTCACAATAGTCGTGTTGTAAAGAAGAATCAGAACTCATGGGAAGAACCATGAGAAAGAAGAAACAAAACAAAACAAAAAAAGAGAGCAAATAGTATGCTTCGATCTGCATTCAGACTCCATAGTTTTTTCTTGGATGTGGATAGCATTTTCCATTATGAGTCTTTTGGAGTTGTGTTAGATCCTTGTATTGTTGAGAAGAGTTAAGTCTATCAAAGCTGGTCATCACACAATGTTGCTGTTAGTGTGTCCAATGTTCTCCTGGTTCTGCTTACTTCACTCAGCATCAGTTCATATAAGTCCTTCCAGGTTTTTCTGAAGTCTGCCTGTTCATCACTTCTTATAGCACAACAGTATTCCACTACATTGACATACCACAACTTGTTCAGCCATTCCTCAATTGATGGACATCCCCTCAATTTCCAATTCTTTGCCACCACAGAAAAAAGTGCTATAAATATTTTTTTACATGTGGGTCTTTTCCCCATTTTTATGATCTCTTTGAGATATAGCCCTAGAAGTGGTATTGCTGGGTCAAAGCGTATGCACATTTTTATTTATTTTGGGCATAGTTCCAAATTGCTCTCCAGAATAGTTGGATCAGTTCACAACTCCACCAATAATGCATTAGTGTTCCAATTTTCCCACATCTTCTGCAGCATTTATAATTTTCCTGTTTTGTCACATTGGCCAATCTGATAGGTATGATGTGATACCTAAGAGCTGTTTTGATTTGCATTTCTCTAATCAACAGTGATTAAGAGCATTTTTCCATATGATTATAAATAGCTTTAATTTCTTCATCTAGCCTATTCATATCTTTTGACCATTTATCAATTGGGGAATGACTTGTATTCTTATAAATTGGTTTCCTAATCTTAAGATGGGGATAATGACAGCACCTAACTTATAACGTTGTTATTAGGATCAGAAGAGATAACATGTGAAGTGCTTTGCAAACCTTAGAGCACTATATACAAATACATTAGCTATGATTATGATGTATACATTAAATGAACTTTAGAATTTCCTGAAGACCAAAAACCTAAGCAGAATGAAAGATTTTTCAAAACAAAAAATAGTATCACCAAAATTAGAAGAAAAGAAATAAACTGGGAAAAAGTATTTGTAATAAACATATCAGTCAAAGGTCTGATATCCAGAATCTGTAACACATAGATCTAATAAGACAAATAACATACAATCTCTAATAGAACAACAGTTAAAGGAGCTGATAATTTGGAGTGAGGTTTTTTTCAGTTTTTCATTTTTAAGAACTCTGACCTTAACAAACATCAACAAAAATGACTACTTCCATATAAACAACAGAACAAGAAGGGATGAGTGTACGTGAAACTGCAAAACTATTATGTCTAGCTTGCTTTTCTTTTCAAATATATATCATAAATTCAACATATTACTTTCAGAGGTATCCTGCTTATTTGTGATTTCTTCTGGCCTTCAGGAACACAGTTTTTTGGAGGAAATAATAAATTTTTAAAAATCATATGAAAATATGCTTAAATTCCCTCATAATATAATGAATGCAAATCAAGACTAACAGGAATTAACTTGGAATTAGATGCTGGAAGAGTTTAAGGGAAATAGGAATACTAAATCAAAGTGTCTATAGTCACATGAAAAAATGCTATAACAAAAATATTTACAGCAGCTCTTTTTGTGGGGCCAAGAACTAGAAATTGAGGGGATGCCAATGAATTGTGGAATTGCTGAACAAGTTGTGGTATATGAATGTAATGGAATACTATTGTTCCATAAGAAATGATGAGCAGGTGATCTTCAGAAAAACCTGGAAAGACTCACATGAACTGATGCTGAGTGAATGGAACCAGGAAAACATTGTGCACACTAACAGCAACATTGTGCGAAGACCAACTTTGATAGACTTAACTCTTCTCAGCAATACAAGGATCTAAGACAATTCCCCAAGACTCATGATGGAAAATGCTATCCACATCTAGAGAAAGAACTATGGAATTTAAATTTAGATTGAAGCATACTATTTTATCTTTTTTTTTTGTTTCTTCCTTTTCCCTTTGGTTCTAATTCTTCTTTACAACATGACAAATGTGGGAATATGTTTAATATGATTATACATGCATAGCCTGTATCAGACTGCATGTCATCTTGGAGGGGGGAGTGAAGGGAGGGGAGAAAATTTAGAACTCAAGTCTTATAGACGTGAATGTTGAAGACTAAAAACAAACAAATAAAACTATAAAAAACCTATAAAGTATTATTGATTAGAGAAAGGCAAACTAAAACAACATTGAAGTACTACCTCACACCTATTAGAGTGGCTAATATGACAGAAAAGGAAATGATGAATGTTGGAGGGAATGTGGAAAAATTGAGACAGTAATGCACTGTTGGTCAAATTGTTAAGTAATCCAACCATTCCAGAGAACAATTTGGAACTATGCCCAAAGGGCTATAAAACTGCATATCCTTTGATTTAGCAATACTACTAACTAGGTCTGTATCCCAAAGAGATAAAAAAAAAATAAGGAAAAGGACCTATTTGTACAAAAATACAGCAGCTCTTTCAGTGGTGGCAAAGAATTAGAAATTGAGGGGATCCCCCATCAACTGGGGAGTGGCTGAACAAGTTACGGTATATGAATGTAATGGAACACTATTGTGCCATAAGAAATCATGAGCAGGCAGATTTCAAAATAATCTGGAAAGACTTACATGAATGAACTGATGCAAACTGAAGTGAGCAGAACCAGCAGAACATTGTACACGGTAACAACAATCCTGTATGACGATCAACTGTGAATGATTTAGCTATTCTCAGCAATGCAGTGATCCAAGACAATTCCAAAGGGCTCATGATGAAAAATGCTATCCACCTCCAGAGAAAGAACTGATGGAGTCTGAATGCAGTTTGAAGCATGGTATTTTTCACCTTTTTTTGGGGGAGGGAGGGGTTTAATCTGTGTCTTCTTTCACAACATAACTGATATGGAAATAAGTATTGTATGATTGCACATGTATATCAAACTGTTTCCTGTCTCAAGGAGGGGTGGAAGAGAAAGAGAATATGGAACTCAAAATTTTAAAAACTGAATGTTAAAAATTATCTTTACATGTGATTAGGAAAAAAATATTACAATAGGAATACTGTCACATTGTTAGTAAGACAATAGTATGGTATAGGCATTTTAGAAAGCAATAGGGCAATACTAGTCATAAAACTGATCACATCTCTCCAAACAATGCTTCAAGTCCAGATTTCCCCTTCCTCCCAAAAAGAAATAAAAGGAAAAGATTACCAAGTTGTACAAAAAAGATTAACAGTATTGCCTTTGTAATAACAGCAAAAAATTATAACATCTCTCTATGTCTAATAATCACAGAAAATCTGATAAATGGTATATTAATGTAATGAAATATGATGGCATTGTAAAAAGCAATAAATATGAAATAAAAGGGGAAATATTGCAAGACCTATAGGAAGTGATGGAAATCTAGATCATCAGGGTTCAAAACATACACAGTGACAACGATTAAATTTTAAAATATTTTCTAAGTAACAAAATGGGTAGCACAATAGACCTAGAGAGGGCACAGAACAAAAACTTTTGTTGCTTATTAAAATTCATTTGGTTCTAAATTATAAAATGCTAAAGGTATTATGTTAGATTTTTGCTCCTTAGTCTGGAAATTTAATGTATTATTTGTTTCGGTAGTTCAGCACTTCTGAAACTGTGGGTCGTGACCCCATATGGCAACAGTAAAAGGTTTCTAACACAGAGCGACCAAAAATTAATTAAAAATCAAATGCATAATGAATCCAAGGTACTTCTGGCAGTGCTTTCCCGTGATGCACTGTGCAACTTTACTGCAGCCTTGGTTTGGAACACAAAGCATGCCCTCAGGCCATGCAATGCCAAAGAACACTGCTAAAACAGGAAGCCCTGGGTTAAATTAATCTGTGAAAATATGTCAAACTTTTCTATTAATTTATAAACTTTTAATGACCACTAACAAGCTGTGAAACACACTAACCTGTGAAATAACAGCTTACCTGAAAGGCAAAGGGCATTTGAAAAGGCAAATTTCTCCAATATGATTTCATCTAGATCCAATTCTGAATTTAACCTGATTTCCCCCCTATGAAGCTTTGACTGACCCCTATGAAAAGGAAAATAGAAAAATAAACAAATCCTATATTAGAGATCACTTTACAAATCTTTCTTATTAAAAACTATTTACATTATATAGGGATGTAGGTACATGAATCAGTAGGCTACAACTATCTTTAAGGAGGCAGCTAGTGGCACAGTAGAAATAGCCCTGGCATGGGGAAAACCCATGAAAATCTGGTTGCTGACATTTTCAACCTGTGTGACTGTGGGTAAATCACTTAATCTATGTCAGCCTCAAGTTTCTTCATCTGTACAACAGACACCATAATAAGCAGCACCCCCAGGACTGTCGGTAGGATAAAACAAGACAATATCTACTTGTAATATAATTAGCAAACCTTAAAGCACTATATAAATGCTTTTTTTGTCCTTTACTCGTGTCTGACTCTTCGTGACCCCATATGGGATTTTCTTGGCAGAGATACTGAAGTGGTTTGCCATCTCCTTCTCCAGCTCATTTTACGGAGGAGGAAACTGAGACAAACAAGGTTAAGTGACTTACCCAGGGTCATACAGCTAGTGTATAAAATAGGACTTGAGCTCAGGTCGTCCTGACTCCAAGGCCAATGTTCTTTTATCCACTAAACCACCTAGCTGTCCTTATAATAAATGCTACTTACGATTATTATCTGAATAAAGAATTGTCTACTTGTCCAAGTACTAAAGTGTATAACTGTGAATTAAGATAGATTTAACATATGTCTATAGTTTCTGAAATCAAGTAGAAATCTGAATCATAACATTAACTTTCAAAAATCTCTATAAAATAGAGATGCTTATTAAATATCCAATATTCTCCTGATTCATATTATTTAGATGACATTTTTTAGTTAAATGGACTTTATTAATACTTAAGAACACTTCACCTATTAAAATCATTTTTAAAAGTTCTGTTACAGATATATTTAAAGGATATAACAGTTCTCAAAAGAATCGTAAACTGTTAATGATCATATGAAAGACTGCTCCAAATCACTAATAAGAAAAGACACAGAAATGAAAATAGCTTTGAGGTTTTATCTGCTATCCAGCAAATTGGCAAAAATTACAAAAGACAGGAATAGTCAGTGTTGAAGGAGTTAAGGAACCATAGGCAAGCTAAATAGCTATTGGTGGAAATGTAGCTTAGCTTAACCATTCTGGAATGCAATTTGGCATTTAGCTAATAAAGTGGCTAAAATGTTCATACTCTTTAACCTGAGGATCCCAATACTAGGCATATACCTTAGGGCGGTCAATGATAGAATGGCTGCATATACTAGAAATAAAGTAGATGCCAAATGACTACAGAATAGCTAAAAAAAAACAACTGTGTATGTGAATGTAATGACAGGGTATTGTGCCATGAAAAATGAAGAAAATGAAGACTACAGAGAAGTGTGGGAAGATATATGAACTGACACAAAAAGTAGAACCAGAAAAACTACACACATACACGATGATTACAACAATATAAACAGAAAGAGCAGAAAAAAGCAACTGATTTGCTATGAAATTATAATGATGAAATTTCTCCCTGAAAAAAATGAGAAAACCCTTTCTTTTTTGCAGAGATGGGGGATTAAAGGTATGGAGCAATAAACATACTGTTAGGCTTGGTTGATGTCTTGGTTAATTTTGCTGAATTGCCCCCCCCCCCCCCCAGTAATAAAGGCTAGCTCTTTGAGAAAGAGAAGGTGGAAGGATATACATGAAAACCAAGATGATACAAAAACAGAAGGAATCAACACACTTTTTAAAAAACAAAAGCACCATAAAAATAACTCTAAGGTTTCACTTCACATCTACAAACTGGCAAAGATAAAAAGGCCATTAGTCAAGGATGGAAGGAATATGGGAAGATGGGCACAGTAATACACTTTTGGTAAAAAAAAAACAACAACAATGGTTTCTGGATATCAATTTGGAATTATTTGTAAAAAGGTGACTAAAATGTCCATCCCTTGAACTTACCCACAAAATGGAAGTGAATAGCACAGTGGATTAAGAACCCGAATCCTACAATATATTATTTACAAGAAACATACTTGAAGCAGAGAGACACATACACAGCAAAGATAAGAGGGGATGGAGTCGAATCTGTTATGCTTTAATTGAAGTAAAAAAAAAACAAAAACGCAGGGGTAGCAATCATGATCTCAGACAATGCAAAAGCAAAAATAGATCTAATTAAAAGAGACAAGCAAGGAAACTACATCTTGCTAAAAGGTACCACAGAGAATGAAATAAGATCAATACCAAACACGTATGTATCAAATGGTATAGTATCCAAATTCTTAAAGGAAAAGTTATATGAGGTACAAGAGGAAATCAACAGTTCAACTATACTAGTGCGGGACCTCAACTTTCCCCTTCCAGAACTAGATAAATCTAACCAAAAAATAAACAAGAAAGAAGTTAAAGAGATGAACAGAATTTTAGAAAAGTTAGATATCACTGGCCTCTGGAGAAAAGTGAATAGGAATAAAAAGGAATATCCCTTTTTCTCAGCAGTACGTGGCACCTACACAAAAATTGATCATATATTAAGTAGGGCATGAAAACCTCACAATCAAATGCAGAAAAGCAGAAATATTCAATGCATTCTTTTCAGATATTCAATAATTTTTTTCAATAATAAGATTAAAAGATAGATTAGAAAAAGATATATAGATTCAAATTAATTGGAAACTAAATAATATAATTCTAAAGAAAGAGTGAGTCAAAGAACAAATCACAGAAACAATAACTTCATTAAAGAGAATGACAACAATGAGACAACATATAAAAATTTATGGGATGCAAAGAGGAAAATTTATATCTCTAAATGCTTACATCAATAAAATAGGGAAAGGAGAGATCAATCAATTGTGCATGCAACTAAAAAAAGTAGGGAAAAAAAAGATTTAAAATCCCCAATTAAACATCAAATTGGAAATTCTGAAAAGCAAAGCAGAGATTACTAAAAGTGAAAGTAAGAAAACCATTTAATAAATAAAATTAGAAGCTGGCTTTCTATAAAAAAAACCAACAATAAAATAGATAAACCATTGGTTAATTTGATTAAAAAAAAAAAGGAAGCCAAGTTACCAGTATCAAAAATGAAAAGGGTAAATTCACTACCAATGAAGAGAAAATTAAAGCAATTATTAGGAGTTATTTTGCCCAATTATATGCCATTAAATCTGAAAATCTAAGTGAAATGGATGAATATTTAAAAAAACATTCATTGCCCAGATTAACAGAAGAAGAAATAGAATACTTATATAATCCTATTTTAGAAAAAGAAATTGAACAAGCCATCACTGAACTCCCCGAGAAAAAATCCCTAGGACCAAATGGATTCACAAGTGAATTCTCCCAAACATTTAAAGAATAATTAATTCCAACACTATATAAACTATTTGGAAAAACAGACAAAGATGGAGTCCTACAAAATTCCTTTTATGGCACAAATAGAGTGATAATACCTAAACCAAGAAGAGCAAAAACAGAGAAAGAAAACTATAGATAAATTTCCCTAATGAATATTGATGCAAAAATTTAAATAAAATACCAACAAGATTACAGCAATATATCACAAAGATCATACAGTATGATTAGGTGGGATTTATACCAGGAATGCAGAGCTGGCTCAATATTAGGAAAACTATCAGCATAATAACAAAAGCAACAAAAATCATGATTATCTCAATAAATGGAGAAAAAGCTTTTAACAGAATAAAACATTCATTCCTATTAAAAACACTAGACAATATAGGAATAAATGAAGCTTTCCTTAAAATGATAAGTAGTATTTATCTAAAAGCATCAGCAAGCATTATCTGTAATGGGGATAAGCTAGAAGTCATCCCAGTAAGATCAGGGCTGAAACATGGATGCCCATTATCATCATTATTACTCAATACTGTACTAAAAATGCTAGATAAAAGAATAAGATAAGAAAAAGAAATTGAAGGAATTAGAACAGGCAATGAGGAAATAAAACTATCACTCTTTACAGATGATATAAGAGAACCAACTAAAAAACTTGCTGAAATAATAAACAACGTTTAGCAAAGTTGCAGAATATAAATAAGCCCACATAAATTATCAGCATTTGTATATATTACCAACAAATTTCAGCAGAAAGCGATAGGAAGAGAAATTCCATTTAAAATAACTCTAGACAATATAAAATACTTGGGAGTCTACCTGCCAAGACAAATCCAAGAATTATATGAATATAATTACAAAATACTTTTCACATTAATAAGGTCAGATCTGATCAACTGGAAAAATATTAATTGTTCATGGGTAGGTTATGCCAATATAATAAAAGCAATAATTCTACCTAAATTAATTTACTTATTTAGTGCCACACCAAACTACCAAAAAATTTTAGAAAACAATGGTAACAAAATTCATCTGGAAGAATAAAAGCTCAAGAGTACCAAGGAAATTAATTGGAAAAAAAATGTGAAGGAAGGTGGCCTAGCCATACTAGATATCAAACTGTATTATAAAGCAGTAATCTTCAAAGCAATCTGATACTGGCTAAGAAATTGAGTGGTGGACCTGTGGAGTAGATTAGGTACACAATACACAGTAGGTAAATGACCGCAGTAATTTAGTGTTTGATAAACACAAAAATCCCAATTTTGGGGACAAAAACTGCTAGGAAAACTAGAAAGCGGTTTGGCAGAAACTAGGTATAGATCAAAATGTCACAATGTACACCAACATAAGGTCAAAAGGGGTTTAGATATAAAGAATGATACCATAAGCAAATTAAGGGAGTATGTAATAGTTTACCTGTCAGATCTATGGGTAAGTGAAGAATTCATGACTAAACAAGAGATAGAGAATATTGCAGGATGTAAGAGGGATAATTTTGATTACATTCATTTTTTTTGCACAAACAAAACCAATGCAGCCAAGATTAGAAGGAAAGCAGAAAACTGCAGAAAAAATTTTACAGCAAGTTTCTCTGATAAAGGCCTCATTTCTCAAATATATAGAGAACTG